TCCTGATTTCTCTACCCTGCTTATGTGAACATATAAGGAGGGAACTCAGTATGTAGACCAGGCTGGCCTAGAACTCCGAGATCTACCTGCCTCACCCACCAAGTGCTGGGGTTAAAGGTGTGCACCACCATGCCCAGCCTAAACATGAGATTTCTAATTTGTGATGATCAATAGCTGTGACCTCAGAGTCAAAGGTCATAGAGGTCAGAGGCTGGAAGAGGTTGTACAAATGATTCTCATCTCAGATGCTTAAGTGGATTGCTCGTGGCCACACTGGGTTAGTTAGGAGCAGGACCAGGAAGGGAGGTGGTCGGTGACTCATATTAGAAAGGACACTTCATGATGTACTCAGTTGTTCACTGCTTAATGGCAAGGAGCATCCTAAGTAATGCATTTAGACAAAGTCCTTATCATGTGAATGCCAGAGACTGTGTGTACAGAGTAAGTGGGACATGCCATTATGAGGCCTATGTCCTCACGATGGTGTGTACTTTCCAATGTGGACCTAAGTGGGGTATTACATTGACTAAAAGGCCTTCCTAAAAGAGAATAATCTTGTGATTTCTGTATAATAGGGGCTTGTGCTGACATTTTTGGAAGAGAAGCTGAAGGACTTGACTTCACGCTATGTTCGACAAGCAAGCACACTTTATTTAAATCGCCAAAATGAGCAGTTTTCTGAAGACGCTTTTAGTCAGTCTACATAGAATCTTTGTTGAAAGATTTATTTTTATGTGTATGTTTGTGCCTATGTATGTGCCCCATGTGAGTGCAGGTGCCCTTGGAGTCCGGAAGAGGGCATCAGATTCACTGGAACAGGAGTTAGAGTTGATCTTGAGCCATCTGGTGTGGGTGCTGAGCCCCAAATCCTGGCCCTTTCCAAGAGCAGCTAGAGTTCTTATCCACTGAGTCATCTCCTCAGTTCCTTAAATGACTCTTAAGTGATGGCAAGGCTGTCTCGGCCTCAATGACCTCTGTGGAAGTTCCTTCTTTTAAATCCATCATGCAGCCTTGAAGAACTTTCGAGGGAGACTCCATTTGATCCTGGATTTGGTTTCACAATAAAGCCATACATTGCTCGGGATCCACTCGGTCTTTCTGCAGAAGTTAAAGAATGCGGTCCATTTTGCATAATGATTTAAAAGTGAGGGTGGTGGTGTGTCCCCTTGACCTTGAGCATGTTGGGAGAGAGATGGAAAAGATCAATATAAAGTTATCAGTGTTTAGTAAGAACAAATGGACGGGCTGTTCATGTTGTTTTCTTTTTGAGAAAGGGTGTTACTGTGCAGACCAGGCTGGTCTCAAACCCACAGAGACGCACTCGCCTCTGCCTCCGAAGTCCTGGGATTAAAGGTGTGCGCCACTGGGCCAAGCTCAACACGCTGTTTTGTTTGTTTGTTTGTCTGTTTGTTTTAGTGCTCTTAGCTAGAGTGGCTAATAAATACCCTAATAAATACACACACAATGAGGCCCATTGTCCTAGGCCACACTGAGATTTTCCACTATTATGCTAAGCAATACTTTTCCTGATGCAAAAAGATTTCTGTTTCTCATACCATGGTTGGCTTTGGTGATGAGGGAGAAAAATTATTTTTAAAGTCCAGATGATAAGGCTACTATGGCAAACAGTGGAAAGTTTTGGTACCCACCCAAGCTTTACCACAGGGAATCATTTACATGGAGTACTCCGCCCTTGACAAATGGAACGTTTTGTGGAGTTATTATCAAAACGGGCAGCCCAGCTCTGTGCTACTGAGGGAGCCCCTGAGCAAGAATGTGTCTGCCCTGGGTATCACTAATGATGCAGCAAGCGTCTGATGAGCAGCAGGAGCTCACATTTTGGTACCCAGACTTTCATTGCTCAGACGTCGATATTCAACTGCCTCAAAGAAATGTTTGAAGGACTAATAATATTTTCTAGATGCATTAGAGAATTTTTTTTCCTTATTAGTTTTCTGTTAAGCTATAATTGTTGGTTTCTTGAGACTGATCTCACAGTGTGGCCCAGTCTGACCTTGAACTCACAATCCTCCGGTTCCAGCCTCTCCCTGGTTCCTGCTAATCCTCATGTTACCATAGTTTCCTGTCCACTGAAGAAGGGCCTTAAAGCAGCCACCAACTCAGAAACATAGTGTCCTTTCACTTTTTTCCTTTTCCAAACAACTTTTTAGAAGTGTTTTTTATTTTATGTGTATTGGTGTTTTGTCTGCCTGTACATCTGTGTGCCACATGGGTGCCAGCAGAGGGCGCCAGATCCCCTGGAACTGGAGATACAGACGGTTGTGAGCCACCATGCGGGTGCTAAGAATCGAACCTGGGTCCTCTGCAAAAGCAGCCAGTGCTCTTAACTACCGAGCCATCTCTCTAGCTCTTTCTCCATTTCCAAAACGACTATGTTATCTAGCTTCTTTATTCCAAATGAAGAATTCCTTGATGTTAGTGATGACAAGCTACATCCTGAAATCTTATTTTCTTAGCATTTCTCGCCTAAACTTTCCAGTAATTCCTTTTCCCTCCAGTGACTCTAATCCTTCACTCAAGTGGTGTCTGGGTCAGAGAAGAATGCAGAGAAGACACTGAAGGGACTTTCTCAATGGCACTTCCTCGCTGGCAGGCATGTGCCGTAAAGCTACAGGTTCCCTTGACAAGGGTCGAGGCATTCCCGTCCTAAGTCTCCCCCAAAGAAAGATGGATACAACTGGGAACCCTCAGTTAGGAAGACGGAGGTTTCTTCACACGGCCTCTCCTGCAGGGAGGGCTTTATCAAGTCTACCTAGACTGCAGATAATTGCAAGCAATGCCAGAATTTTCCGCAGGAAGCTGTGCCGGGCCTTTCCCAGCACAGAGACAATTGCTCAATTAAATCCCCAAAATTCCATGACACAAGAAGGGCAGAGACAATTCTGGCCCGGAATTTTTTTAGGGTAGGTGTTACCAACCGCGAGCTGTGGCTTTAGGAAAATCTTCTGTGCTCAGGGGTCGTTGCATCAGGAGACTCAAAAAGATGAATAAAGTACAAAGTTTGTTCTTATTTATCCAGGTGGGTTGACTTCTTTGGGGTTTTGTGGAAGAATAACTAGGCCTGTAGGAAGCAGTGGTTTTGATTTATTTACAGCCATTAGCATCCTGCCAATTAATCTGTTAATAATTTAACACCAGCAACTCTTGCCAGTTGAAATGCCTTCTAAGATATTAATTTTACCAGCAGCAACATTTAGAGAACATAAGGTTCATTTAATATCTTCCTCTGAAACTATAGACCCAAGAGAATGCTTTCTGACACCAGTGATGCTGGGGGCCTGTGCCCCGTGGTGGGCAGCGAGTCAGCTTCCTGAACGCCATGGTTCTGACCCTGCACCCCCTGCGTGGTGGGAGAGCCTGTGCGGTGGTAGAGCATGGATGCTCAGGGGTAGCAAACCAAGGCCATGCAGTTGGCAAGAAGGGAAGCAAGCTACCTATGCAATGTAGAGTTTTAAAGAGTCCAGTAGTCTTTAAGATCCTAGGACCCCAGAGAGACACTAGCGATCACAGTCGGGTGGCCCTGGGATTTGACACAAAGACCTCAGATCTGTGACCCGACAGGGGGTCTAGAGGACTTCAAGTTTCTCCCTTAACTTCTACCGTGAAAACCCATTTTTCAAGTAAAAATACTCACGAAGATTGGTGATGAATGTATCCAGCCCCAAGACTCCCTCTCTCCCAATCCCTCGTCTTTCCTAGGGATCACTGTCCCTGGCCCCCAACCTTGCCTTTTACCTGTCATGACAGAGGTCGGGAAGAGGAAGGAGGGAGGAGGAGGAAACGCGCGAGAGGAAGAAGGAGGGAGAAGCAGAAATGGGGAGCTAGGGGGAGAAACGGAAATGGGGGGCTAGGGGATGAAGGAGGGAGAAGGGGGATACCAGAGAAGGTGGAGGAAGGAGGCTGTAGCCCCTTAGATGCTGTTCTGAGGGCTGAGAGGGGCTCAATCTGTACAGACCGTAGCTCAGAGTCATGTGACTCGGAGAGTTCCAATGGGAGTCAGATATGCAAGAGCATCCAGTACAGTTGCGGGGGGGG